CCAGGACAGAAAAGAGCTGTCTGAGCACCAGAAGGGAGGCACTGACAGGGCAGATGCAGGAATGTCTGTACACAGAAAGTGACCTTGACAAAAACTGTGAACAAGGAGGGGCACCAGCAGCTGCTGGTCCTACGAGTCGTGACAAAAAGCCATGCAAAAAGCAGCAGCAGTAGGTGACCAGGAAGAAACATGTCAATTAGGGTGAGGAGTGCTGCACAGATGGGTTAGGAAAGCGCAGACACATCAAAATCTGAGACAGTGGCAGAACAATGCCTTTGTTTCAAATACAAGCACAAGGCTTAGGAGAACACTTCTAAAGCGTGACACCGTGAAGTGTCCCTGTCCCAGCCCCTCTGCCTGCCTGCCCACTGGTGCAAGACTGCTTCCACTATAACAGGACCTAAAGGGGCTCTGGCACTGGGAAACACCCGAGGGAAAGCTCTGGCACCTGAGAGCCACCACAACGGGTGGGAGCATCCGAGGGACAGAGCTCGACCGCCACCGTGAATTCGGGAATCAGAAATGGTAACGGCAAAGTCAGAGCAGGTACAGTGAGATTTAAAAATCTGTCACAATTTGAATGAAAAAGGAAGCTTGACTGTAAGTATACTATATTCTTAGATAACAAGTTGTTGCAGTGAAGGAGAATTGCCTGAGGAAGCTGGGAAGCGAGTGTGTGTGTGTGTGGGCACGGTCTCAGCCTGAAGCCTCTTTACCCTTCCTCTTTGGGTTTCACATGTTGCTCAAACAACTGCTGGACAGGAAGCATTGCAACAACTTTAAAAAGCAGACTAGGGAGAAAGAAGACAGAGCCAAACTCTAAGGACAAAAATATTTGAAATGCAATGACGGAGCTTCATGTGATTTTTGGATTATCCTCATCTCTTAGACAGATGTCTCATGACATGGCAGAAGGAATTAATACTTTGACTTCAATACAACAAAAATAACAGAATCATATACAATTCTAGAGATCAAAATATAGGTTGGAAGGCAACATGAATCTTGGAAGTCAATATAAATTAGTAAAGCAAGATTTGTGAATCATCAGAGGAGTTTTTTTAGCAGGCTAAATATAATCCTTCTGCAAGGTAAACTTACATAACCTGTAATACAGGGATTTATTCTATGCCATTTATAAGGAAGTTCACATTTAATTTTGAAAAAGTCTGAAAGTACTTTTCCTGATCTACCTTCTACTATCAAGCCCTCTTTTTCAATGCATTGTTTGAAGTACAAGTACAAAAAATTAATGACTTGTGTAATTAAGCATTTGCATCTGCATCCTAAGCAAAATGTTCATTAGAGCTTGAGCCTGATTTTTTTCTAAAAATATTAAATTAAAACATGAAATAGAACATGAAAAGGGTTTTAAAACTAGGGAGCCACATTTTCAGCATTGATATAAACAACAATATTTTTAGGGGTCTGATAAGCAAACTCAGTGGATTGGTTTCTTCCAGAGCAGATCCAAAATTTCATTTAAGAGCAAAACTTTTCTGCTCAATTTCTTTTAAAAATAAATATTAAAAAATATTTTTGAAAAAAAAAAAATAGTGCAGTTATTTTTATAACAAACTATTGAGAAATTATGTATAATGGAAAAAAAACAAAAGCCTTATTGTTGCCAGATATAAGCTGACACTGGCCAAAGGCTGTTTTGCATTTGATAAAATGGGTGAGGGGAAAAAGGGAAAAGCCTGGTTTCAGATTTGTGGGTCAATTCCAATCAGCCACAATTCCTTTTCAAGGCTTTTAAAAATTTCTCTGTAATGATGGACAAAACCACTACAGGCTCATTATTTTTACTGTAGTAGAATATGGATATTAAAATTTATGAGCAAAATAAAATTGTCCCCAGGCCATAGATCTCGCATATAATAGGTACTCATTCACTGGGTTCTTTTCATATTAATGAATGCAGAAAATACAAGTTAGGCTAAATTACAGGCATATAAATACAGTGAGATGGTTCAGATGGCACATAAAACGCAATGTTACACTCAAAATTATTTTTATTACTAGCACAGAGCACAAATATACATTTCTTCATGTTGATTGTTTCCTCTTGATTTTGTCTTTCTGCTTGTGCTAATTAATCTATATTTAAAATTTCATCAGATGGCACTGCAATTAGGAAAATGCTATTAATGCTTTTTAAAAGAAAATTATTTCCCATAATTCCCTGTTTGTATTGCATTTATAACTGGTTTTTGAAAGCAGAGCACTTTAAATGCAAGTCCAGGTATTTTGGACATATTCAAATAATAAATTTTACCTTATAAAGAGAGTCACTCAAGACTAAATTGTATTTCACAACTCCGAGATTTAGATTGCTAATTTAGCTTTGGGGTTCCCACAGAAATATAGAAGTTTTTTAAAAGTTCTTTCTCAAAATAAGTCTTTATCCACATAGCTAGTGGGTAGGGAGATAAGGCAAACTCTGTATGCACCTAAAGGTTAAAATTTCATTCCTCTCTAAGAAGATTTAGGCAGTTAATTCATTTCAGTTTCTTTTCTAAACTTCCTTGTAATACCTGTATGTGCTACCCCTTTGGAGCTCCTGCCAAATGCTTCTTTACAGGACAGACTTTAACAGGGCAAGTTAACTTTGTGTGCTGTTTTAACTGGGTGTACGTCAACTGTGTCAAATTTTAGCCTTAAATACACTTGTAGGCAAATAAAGCTGCTGCACAATCAACTGAAAACTATTAGCTTTATGGAGACCTATAATTAAGACAAAAATTTCAAGGTGGAAATGGACAGGACTGACATTAGAGCAGTAGATCACAACTCTTTCAACTGTTTGATTCATTTTATCTCCCTTCCAAGGAATTGTTCCTTTTTCTTCCAAATGATTGGAGAATTTGGGAACATTCTAGCTGAGAAAAAAAGTGTTTCACCACTCATAAGCTTGTAAAGCAAAACTGCTTTGGAATTCAAAGGCTCCTCTGTTAGCACAAAAGTCTGCTTCATTCATGAAAAATATATTCAATATATTAATGCAAGTAATACCGCCTAGGAGCCATCTTAACTGGGGACAAGTTACATGGACTAGTAGTGTGTGAAGAGAAATATACTAATTTCATCAATCAATGGAGCAAAAACATTAATTCCTAAAGAAAAAAATTACAATTCCTAAAAATTTCTGTTTGCTTTAAAAATCAGAGCAGAGTCAACACTATTATAATAATATGTGCATGCCTGGAACTGCCTTAATCCATCTGTTTCTGTACAATTTGAGGGGAGGGATTACAGCTTAGTTTGGTTTGGGGGCTTTGCTTTCTTTTTTTCATTTTTATAAGAAAGGGAACACAATTAGTTTCAAATCAAGATCCAGCAGCTGAAAGTGAGGCTTAGCTCCTCCAGCTGTGTGCAAAAGCCAGAGCCACTTTCCAGCCAGCTTCAGAGCCAGGGTGTGCTCCCAACAGATGCATTATGTAAAACACACATACCAAGTGCTGCACACATCTCACTGAAACAATGCACATTTCAGATCCCACCATTAGATGTGGCCTAAGAGAAAACAGATGTGGGCCACCATGGGATAAAATGAGATGAAAAAGAGTAAAATTTACCTAATTTTTGCTTATCCAGTTGTTATGAGAAATGTGGAAAAGAGAGGAGAAATTAACGAGATAAAAGAGCAGAAGAAAGCAACAGACATAACAGTAATGCTTTATAAAATAATCTGTATATTCCTGCATGGCTGGTACTGTATTATTAAATTGCAATATAGTTACATATCATGATATCAGTAATACTGATACAATAAAGGCAATGGGGGGAAAATCTCTCTGCATTTTGTGTTTTGCTTCCAAGAAGGACATCTTCTGAAAGACCACCCTTAGAGCTGTGCTCTCCCGTGGAGCAGATGGCAGTCCTAGCAAGATGTCACCACAAGAGCTGCCCTCTGAGGAAGCTGGCAGCCCTTATATTCCTTTTATATCTTGTTTACACTTGCAATTGTGTCAAAACTACTCAGACTGAAAGGATTGCTCACAATTTTAAATATTAATGGCATACTGTAGGAATAATATTTTGCTTTTTCACTGTAAGGACTTTGCTTGTGTAAAGGTATGGGATTTGTTTGGTTGGTTGTTCAAAGCTCTTTGAAGAGAATGAAAAGTTCTTTCACATTCTAAATTATCAGGCTGCAAGGAGGTTTAACTTTTGCAACTGCAAAACAGTAACTACTGAACTTCTTTCTACAAGAACTGTAATGAATTTCGAAAGAGCAAGGCAAACAGATCTTTGCCTAGTTAGTGGCTCATCTAATCAAAACCCACCAAGAATATAACACAAAAATAAGTGTCCTACCCCAAAAACCCCACAACCCAGCCTGTCTAGGGCAGACAGAAGGGACCAGAAAAGAAATTCACTTGTATACACCCTCTAAGCATTTAACCAGAAAGATCAGCACACCAGCCTTTGCCCTCAGGATCTGTTTCCCCAGCTGTCCCAGAGGAGAGGATGCCCCATAACCAGACACAGGGGAAGAGGTCTGACCCTGCAGGCAGAACCTAGCTAGTGCTGGAATCTCCCCAACCATGGGAAGATGGGATTCAAGGAAGATTTTGGGGGCAAATCAGAATCCACTTTCTCTACCAGCAATGCCAATCCAGCTGTGTCCACACTTTTTTCCACAGAACAAGGGCTGTTGTGCTCCAAAGGCAAAGCAGTTATGTACCTTCTTAGGAGGACTGGAAGATTTTTGTACATGGGCACTTTCTAGATAAAAGTGCAGGGACTCTATGAGAGGTGAACTTTTTTTATTTAAAAGCCTATATTGCTTCTCTGTCACATGAAATGAATGGAAGGGTGGGGAATCAACCAAGAATTACAGACTGCATCTTCTCTATCTGACAATATGTCTGTCTTTGCTCTCTGCTCTTTATCACATTTCTTCTGAGTGCCTTTATTTTTACTAGATGAGAAATTAGTTGTTATTTGTTTGGGTTTTTTTTAAATTCACATCTGCATGTTGTCTTTTATCTTACCTTTCTTCACCTTCTCTTTGGTTATCTTTTCACTTTATTCTATTTCTTCCAATTTGTGGAAAAAGCCAACCTGCCAAGCTAAGAGGCAAGTACAAAGAAAAAAGAGCAATGAAGAATGCTACTAATTTTGCAAAGAGAAAAATAAAATTGCATGATTAAAAATAAACCCCAGAAGTTTTGATGTAATCACTCTGAAATATATAAAAATCCACCAGTAGATCTCTAAGCACGACTCCAAATACTGGGTTGGTTTTATTCATATTCTCCCCTTCTGTAGGCTTACTCTGTTTTCTTTCAAACCACCACTAGCAGTCACTAAGTTTCTCATTAAGATATTTTCAGACAGAAAATCTGAACCATACAAGACAGTCCATGATAGAAAATGCAAACCAGCTATACCAAGACCTCAGCACTGCTGTAAATATGAACAAGCTTAGGCTTAAAGGACTCTGAAAAAATATCTAGTATCTATAAATAATAGAAAAGCTACAGAGCATCCTGAGAAATCATCTGGTCCATCTCACATCTCAAAACACATAAGACATTGAGACATTTGACACATGCTTTTCTACCTGCTTTGTTCAACCATGTGTGATGGATAACCCAGACTTTCCTGTCTGATAAATTATCCCTGTAGACAGAAAATTCCATTCATGTCTGGGGCAGGCAGCCCAAACCACACTATGGATAACAAAAGTGGCACTACAAGCCCTTCCAAAGTACAGCACAGCCTGGTCCTGAGACCAAAAACTTCACAACCATGGTGCTGATTGCTACAATCTCTGCAACTGCTGGAACCTTGGCCAGACTTGCTGCTATAACTTCATGGATCACTGTCCCAGCAAACATTCTGAAGGTTTTTAACCTTCTTTATTAGGCTAAGTATTCTCCTTTTAAATTGTCAAATCAGAGTTTCAAACCTGACACTATTTCTGCATCTCCCCTGCTGTCTCTGGCCCGTGGTATTTCTTGAAGTGCAGTACCCAAATCAGCAGCTCTGTAGCTGAAACTCTTACCAGCACTCAGATGAAAGAATTTCCTTTGTTCCTATCACAGCTTTCCTATCTGTAACACACAAGAAGAATGTATGGTGGTTTTTCTGTTACTAGCATGAAGACACAATTTATCATTAGAAAATTACTTCTCCCTACCCCAAGATACCTTACAGAGATAAGGAAATAAAAAATAAAAAGGAAAGATGCCCACATCAAATACTGCTTTTCTTTTCCTTGAACAATTGATCCATTGCAGACCCATTCATGCATTATGAATGTCCAGATAAGCAAAAGACTTTTCCTCTACAATTTAAGATAGAATAAACAAGCTTAAGGCAGGTTGATGCACTCAACTGCTAAGCTATGCTTAGTCCCCAAATGTCTTAGCAATTCAGAGCTCTCACCTTTTATAAAGGGCTATGGCTTCCAAGGTAAATGAGGACTGAAAGGAGACTGGTAGATTTTTAAGTGTTATTGTTCAGCTCTAGTCCTGAGGAAGGCACATCTGCCAGAAATTCAAAAATTCAAAGAGGGAAAAGCCTTGCAAAAATTATTTACCTTCAACTTTACATCTCTTGCATACAGACACCACAATCTCAGAGAGAACACTAGCAATTTAAATGAATTGCAAATATCCTACTTTTTAATAAATAAAAGATCAATACATCTTTTGAAATCATCCTTGCATCTTGTCTTTTGCTAACCCTTTACCCTTAGAAGCTGATGTTACAAAATAAGGTAACTTCTATTTCATCATCTTATATGCAGAAAGGAAGCAGATTCTCTCTTTCATTATTACAGACAATGGGACTCAGTGCAGCTTCATAAGTATTTGATAAAATGTGTTCTATTCTTTCAGGCACTGTAAAAACATTTCAGCCTTTCTTTTGCTTCCTCCCGCTTTTCCTAGCACTTTGTAGAGGTTAATGAACACTGCTGTTGATGGACCTTACCCCTGAAGAAGGATGATCTTCAAGGCAGTTATGAAATGGAAGTCAGGAACTCCTCTGTACTCATTAGTTTTATATTAAGTTAATTTGACGTGGCTTTCATTGGTAGTGGTTTGGGGTTATGTTCTAATTGTAGTTAATTATCTGAATACAACTGCTAAGGGGTTTATTTCCATTACCTTTTACCATGAAGCTGTTCTTTTATAAGCAAACAAACAGAAATCATTCCTCATTCCTCAGAGCACATAGAGACTTTTCACATTTCCTGAGTGAGTGCACAGCTGGTGCATCACTCACCAGCCATCACAGACAGCAACACTGTAGTAAATTGGTTTTAAATTATTCACCAAGTTCTGCGTAAAAGAAAGTTTAAATATCTTTCTGGAAAATGCTATTAATACCTAAAGAACCAGGCATATGAAGCAAAACCTGCTGAACACATCTGTGTTCAGACACAACAGATACAGCTAAAATACAATTGCAATGTTTCAGCAAATGAAGCCCTGAGGTAGCCTAAAACTGAAATTAAATGTTTTGGATACTGGCTTTTTCTTTGGTTTTATAGGAAAGTTGTTAAACATATATACAGAGATATATTTATTTAAAGCATTCACAGATCACAGAATCTGATACCCTCTGATTTTATGTAAAAATAAAAATGACTCCACCACTTTTAGTAATGCAGTACTAAAGCACTGTGAACTAGTTTTTTTCCTCTCTTCTGCAGTATCTGAAAAAAACCCCTGAACTTTCAGTCACATATCTGTATCATAGGCCACCTTTCAAAATTATATCTCACAAAAGTAGTGAACTGTTAAAAGATCTGAAGTATTTTTAAAATCTACAAACATACATACAAGTATATGTTGCCTGAAATTACTACGGCAATAACCACAAAATTAGGATATCATATAAGATCACATAAATGATATTGCATTTCAGAACATAATTTTAACAACCTAGTTTCAGCTTGCAACAGGCTATTTTAATTTCTCTAGACACAATTTTTCCTTATTAGTACTCCTTCACTGCACAAGCATAAAGCCAATAGGAGAGGTATTACTGCCTCATCCCCACAGACCTCCATTCCTCTAATTTTGTTTCATAAGTAGAAGGTATCAGGACCCCTCTCAGCCAAAATTTCACATGAAACAAAAGGAGATATAAGAAAAGAGCTTTATGCAGCCAGTTTCCCCCTCCCTGCCCCCTCATGTGAGGGGAAATATTTATTCAGTCTGTTACTCCTTGGCTCGCTGGATAACAAGGCCTTCATTGCTTTCCTTTACCATGAAAGATGAGAACTCATTTTCTGAAAAACTAATTTTGAAATGACTTGTAGATGCAGTAATTTAAAGCAGGGAAAAAAAAAACAAAAACAACAAAACCAAAAAAAAAAAAAAAAAAGGGCAAAGTATGAATAGGCATTTTGTAATTTCCATTTTCTCCTCATGATAGATTCCTTTCTTATGCAATGTGAAAGACAGAAACCAGAGCTCATTGCCACAGCATAATACCAGCTCTGACTGGGGGCATCACGACTTTGCCCTGCCATTGACAGGGCAGAGACAATACTGCTTATTAGCACAAGTGAGATTCATTACTATAACCAAAGCAGCAACATCCCCTACTCATAAATCCACAGGTAATCTTACATTGTTACAGCTGCGGTGCCTGTGCTTCCTTTTTGTCACTTATAAAAATAGTTTTTATTGCAGTCTATTCTGGGTGAAGGTCAAGCGAGAGAGACAGCATTGGGAAGTGAAGCCTTTTAAATGGAGACAGCACATAATGCAGATTCCTTTAATACAAGTTCTGCTGCCTGCAGTATAAGCCTTGACCTAGAAGGGCCCTGAGTCTTGAGCTTTTTGGGGCTTGAAATAATTCAGTCTTTATGCAAGAATTTACAAAAGATGTTTCTGACTTCAACTGTACAACCATTTGTTCTAACAGATGGAGGTAGAATTATGGGCTGGTTTGGATTAGAAGATTCCAACCCTCTGCCACAGGCAGGAACACCTTCCTTTTGTCCACATTGCTCAGAGCCCCATCCAGCCTGGCCTTGAGCACTTCCAGGGATGGGGCATCCACAGCTTCTCTGGGAAACCTGTGCCAGGGCCTCACCACCCTCACAGGGAAGAATTTCTTCCTAACAGAGAATCAAAATCCACCCTCCTTCAGTTCAAAGCCATTACCACTTGGATAGTTCTCTTTTAGAGAACACTTTACACTAGGGCTTGCTCTGTGATCGCCAGACTTTGTCTGTTAAAGAATGGAAGAATGACTTGACGGGCTATGAAAGACGAAACCTTTCTCTATTGCAGTTCTATTGTTCAGTTTTCTAATTTACAGATCACAGTAGTAGAATAGGTAATTCTATTCAAACACAAAGAAATGTGTTAAATTGTCTGAAAAAAATATTAAGTATTCTACAGAGAAAGGGAAAGAGGCGTCTGCTTGTCTTCTGAAATGGTACCTGCTTTTGAAATAGCCGCAGAGGAATATAAGTGAATCAATATAACCAGCACATTTATCTGAAAGAGTGGGGACAGCCAGGGTCATAATTATTACTGATGTGTTGCTAATACACGAAAAACAGCAAAAGAAAAATGTTGATTGATTGCTATGAATTCCTGGCAGCTGTAGCTTTTGAAGCATGAAATACATTAGCATTGTATTCTAATGTCTTTGATAATTTTTCAGAACTGATGCTTGTCTTCTGAGGAAGGCATATTATTTATTTACAAAGAAGTCACTGGCTGTAAAAAATTAAACATGCAGGAAATAAGCTGACCTCCATTTTTTCTGCAAAATGACATTTCTGTGAAGGACAAAGGAAGAAATAACTTATGCTGTTAGTGAATGATACAGGTCCAATTTCATGTTCATTGTCCAAATACCTATGCCCTTTACAGGTTATTAACTGTAACAAGCTCCTGGGAGAATTTATTGCATCATTACACAGCAACTATAGAATATTTCTGGTAGAAAAACCTACAGTGAAATAGCAGCTCTGTTAAAAGGAACATTTTTGAAATACTATGCCTGGTTTGTAAGAGTCATAACAAGTTTTTTCAGACCAAGTCTTCACATGTACCATAAAGATTCACAAATGCCACAGCTTTAGCTGTGCTTACACATGTATTTCCTAATACATTTTTTCGCTTTCCCCTATCATTCTTTTTGTATAATGCACCACTGAAGAAAGTAAACTGAATGATTTTATTCTCCAATGATTTAATATTGTTTTCTGCTTGAATACAGAGATAATATTGGATACAGGATGTCTAATAGAAACATAATTATTATTATACATTATTATTATTATTATGTTGGATACAGGATGTCTAATAGAAACACTATTACAGGGATTTAAGCATTCAGAGCTGAATTTTCAAAAATTTCTGCATCTCAAAAGAAGTAAATAGAATTCTAAGGGAGGCATGATGGAGCCAGGTAACCAGCAAGAGTAGGTGCTGCAGTCATTGTCATACCTTAAGCTACAAAGAAATAGCAGTAACTCCAGTTCCTGACACTCAGCAGGGTTAAATGCACTCGTATTAATTTTGAATCAGCAGAAGAACTCCCAGCTGCAAGGACTTTTTTTTTTACATTTATGAGGACTCTGCTTTTATTTCTAAAACTTGCAATACAAATAAATGCATGATAAGTGTAACACAACTTTTGAATTACAAATCAATACAAATTTTATTCAGTACAAAACTACCAATGTCTCTGTCAGGTTGTTAGCCTTTTTGGCACTTAAAGCACCTGTCTGCCCTTATGGTGTTGCTGACTAATATTTGTATTCATATTTTAGGCAGTCCAGGCTCTTCCACAGCCATTGCTCCTGACCCCTTCTGTGCCAAAACTCAGAATTATCATTAATTAAAATTATTGGTGCTTTTAACTGCTCAGCCCAGATAACACCTCTAGTTGGAGTGCTTGCCCATTCTGTCTGCAAGAAGGGAAAATGTTTGTAGACCCTCATTGTCTGCCCATAGTTCTTCCACTATTGATAAAAGGCTGGACAACTCCCACAATTTATGGTGAGGAAACCTGTATGGCTCAGCTTTTTTTGAGAAAACAAAATGCCTGTGCAAGTCATTCACATAAATCCCGCAC